GGGGGGGGGGGGGGGGTATTCACGATCAAGCGCGCCACCGATTTTTGGCTAAGAGCCCGGCGCCTCTTGCGAAGGCAGGATGAGGTATTTGTGGTTGCAATGAATTGCGTATAAACACATGAGCACAGCACCAAGCGCGAAACGAAATGAGGTACTCGGCGATGCGCATCAAGGGCTGGGCTACACCCCGCTAGGGGCGATGGTGCGGGCTGGGGTGGTGGTGGGAGCACACCACTGCACTCGCTGCGGCCGTTGTCACCCTACATGTCGCTGACTCGCAAACAATCCGCTTGCCGATTGATAATGGCAGGAGCCAACGGTGTGAGGCAATGACGAACAAACGTACCGTGCTACAACAAGATCACACACCCGCAACACCACAACCGGCGGTGGAATTACGGGTTAACATGAGCGTGAACATAAAAAACATGTCTCAGCCAAGGTATAGGGCCACATGAGATACCGTATGCAAACGTCCCACACAAAGAACACACCCGCGGTGATAACTTTATTATACTGCAAGTCAAAATGCTATCGCCGGGGTATGTACTCTATGGTGTAGACTACAAAAGAGCATACAGGAATACATGTATACAGGGATGGGAATGCTGCCAGCCGCCAAACGAGCACACGCCGTCCGTTTTTCGGGCGCTGATACTAGATACTGTACCTTGCTCGTGCGCTACGCTGCTCACGCACCATGACTCGCTCGCAATCCTGCGAATAAGAACGGCAGCGGAAAAACACCCAACAGGCTGCAACCCTTCCAAAACCACCGCCTGTCAGAGCTTACGAGTGCTGTAGTGTAGGAACAGTCATCAAGAGAGAGTGGGGGGGGGGGCTGCCGACATTTGGAGACTCACTGAAGTACTACTGACTGTAAGGCGGAATTACACGCAAGGTCCAGGAGTATGCAACATGCCAGAACACCACTGCCACCCGCAAGCTCCAACTCTCCTGCTAGCTCTTGGGTACTGGGATCACCAACGGCGAACACGGCAGTCCCATACAACTCCTTGGGGTGCGACTCCTTGGGGCACAATACCTGCTTCGGTATCCGTTGTGCATGTGCATATGCTTTGCGCATGCAGCGCACTAACCAACTAACCCGGGGCCGGCCAACGGAATTATAAGCACGAACAAATAAAGTCAGCCAGAACCAGAGTCATCGAGTGGGATGTCCACTACCACCACCGCCGCTGGCTTTTCAGGGGCTGTTTGTTGCCTAGTGGTACGCATCTAGATAAGCCTGCGTCTCAAGGACTACTACTGCTGCACGTTTCTCGGGATAAATAGTGATCAATGGCGAGGGCAAGCACACACAGGGAGGGTGAACGACGCTGTTCTGTCTGTGCGTGGCCCCACATCGGGGCTCTTCACGAACAGCAGAGGCGAAAAGAAGGCTTACAAGTCTCATGTACTTACTTACCATGGTATTGCTTCACAGCAGTGGTAGATACACATGTGTGCGGGAGGGTCATCACCACCATCGTAACACAGAGGACACCCCCACCCAACACGGCTCACGCACTTGCATACCTTAATGTGGCGAAGACTGCCGGTCTCCTCCCTCGAGATGACGGTGCCCCTGTGCCATTGCCCATCGTGAGCCTTCGCCCAGACTAGCGCGTTGAACTCCATCGGAAAAGCTTCGATGGCTGCCGGCTACTTTTTTAAAAAACAGCAGAGGCTTCCGCGGGCCACTGCTGTGGACCGGACAGCCAAAACCCGAACCAGCCTGCTGCCTGCGCGGCGAAAGCAAGCTGAGGGGTTCGAGATGTCCCACGATTGCGTGGTGGCTGCTCTGCCGCTTGCCCTTTGCTCCTGAGTCCGTGTTCTTCTGACAACAAGTGCCAATCGATCTCTCGCTGCTGCTGGCGCCAAAATCAAGTTGTACCACGATAATCGATCTTTGTTTGCTGCTCTCCTTGCTGGCTATTAGGTAATACAGATCACTCGCCACCTTTCGGCCTTCGCTGACCTAGACTGCACCACAAGGCAGCACAAACAGAGGGCGAGAGAAAGAGAGAGAGAGAGAGAGAGAGAGAGAGAGAGAGAGAGAGAGAGAGAGAGAGAGAGGGGGGGGGGGGGAGAGAGAGAGAAAGAGAAGGACCTCTCTCCATGAAGGGCACNTGCAATTCGCGGCCTTCCAGGGTGTTCTTCCTCATTCCGCCCTCGTTTCTGCTCTCTCTCTCGTCCGTCAACAACGGAGTCGAAATATGCAGCAGACCACGCGACACAGCCTGGTTTCGATATGGTTACAACCAAAGCTCCGGGCGAGGGCAGTGAACAAAGACTGGAATCGTAGGCAACGAGCTACCAGCACGCTGCCGAAATGCAAGGCCGAAATCTTGTGTGTAACGCAGCACAAGCGGGAAGTCGCCTATCCTCCTGGTGTATCGCTGTCTGTGCGTTCCGTCATATCGGTAACCAAGCAAGGTTGTAACTCTTGGTGTGTTTTTCGTACACTTGGGCCCGCACACACACGACGACAAACATGATTCGATATGTCCACAGAGAGACAGAAGGAAGGCGAGACCACGCACGCCTGCTACAGGCATGCATATTCCGTCCAAGGCACAAGTGCCTGCATAGAAACTGCTGCGACGGGCCCGGCGTGGGGGGGGGGTCGAGAAGTCTGCCCGCCTTGCCCGTGTGTGTCTGCCCTCTCTTCCTTTGGCGAGGGGAACAACTCGAATTCCGATTTAGCTTTCCAAAAAAACACCAGGCCGTCCAACGCCATGCCGGCGAGAGAGGCAACGAAAGCACTCTCTGAGGGAAGCACCATTCGACATACCTCGACTGCACAAGCGATCCCGGTAACCAGGAAGAAAGAGTTCGGGTTCTTCCACACGCAGGCTCTTGGGAGGGCGTTGCCCGCCGTGGATTACCGTGTGCCTCGTTGTCTTCCACCTTGTGCTCTATGTCTCTCTCTCCCTCTCCCTGTGCTGTTGCGTGTTTGACCAGGGGATGCTTGGGTTTCATCCCCGCCTTAGTTTGCCGTGAAGAGACAACACCACACACCGCCACTAGCCACCACACAGGTAGCAATGTCGCGAAGACGCAAGCCCGGGGTCAACAGCCTGGACGTGGTGCAGAGGCTTCAGCAGCGGGTTTCGGAGGGAGAGTTCTACGAGGCCCTGCAGCTGTACAAGACCTCGTACTCGAGGCTGAAGGCCCAGGGCAGGCTCGATGATGCGGAGGAGCTGCTAACGGGGGGCGCCATTGCCATGTCCAAGGAGAACGAGGTATACAAGGACCTAGTGTAGTTTTGTGCATGCAGTGGCCAGTGGTGTTGTTTTTGCCGATGCCTTGTGTGTGCGGTTGGCGTTGTTGAGTGCTTGGGATGATTAAGCTCACGGCTACCCAGGCACTAAGAACAAGACTTCACATCTATCCGATGCGTATGTAGATCTAAATGAGAACACCTTGCGTAGCTGCAAGACTACAGTACCGCGGAAGTGGTGCATACAGACCCATGCTCAGGATGCTGCCCCGTGCATGCACATGTCCAAGGAAATGTACGCGTATTGGCATCGTACACACGTAGTTGAACGCAAGGGTTATACATGCAACAAATATCCGCGTTGTACTTTGTAATATGGCTGCTGTACCGCAGTAGTATGCGCTCCTTCAGAGGCAGGATAATAATCCAATAGCTTATCCTCCCGCTGGCTCCGATATTCCTCGGACTCACGTTCAGCCTATCTTGCACACCGGTGCATCCAGCCCTTGAGCATGGAAGGCCAAATCAGCAGCTCAAGTCACGCTGTTGCTAGTCTACCACACAGCGATGTAGCCCACAGCACCGATCATGCAGCCCAATGGCCCAAAATGCTAATCTATCTTAGACTTATTTCTATAGATGAATTTAGAGATGGATTTGTTGTGTGATATTTAGAAAATAATAAATAATAAAAATGCCCGCAAGAATACTCTGGTTGTTCCGGCTGGTATTATAATAGTGTTGGTGTTTCCAGACAGCAGTTGTTTACGGTTCAGGTGTTTACGGTTCTGTGATTGACTCTTCCGATCTTACTAAAAAGGTCTTTCACGCCCTTTGATTGGTCGAGCGAGCGGTCTTTTCCTCTCCAAGGCCCGCTATGTATTCCACATCCCGCGGCTGCTCGTCCACCGTCAGTATGATGTAAGGTTGGATGCATGACGTAGATATCACACCCCTTTGGGCCAATTCTTAATTGAAGATTAACTCGGCAGGAAAAGCAGTGTGAGACTGTGCCGAAAGTGGTGGCGTTGGCACCGCCGTCTCGTCGAGAGCTTGTCGAAACGAATCACGACTTTTGTACACCCCATGTTCTCCCCTCTCCCGCTTGGGACCGCCTTGGCGAGGAGACAAGTTTATGAGGAATCAGAACAGAGAGGGGTGCGCAGACCCTACTCCCTATCCCCACCACTTACCCTGTAACCCAACGTGTCCGATTGCATGCTTTATTCAACGTGTTTACTCAGTAGAAAAACCCTGCCAAGGCTGCTGGCTACTGCCGGGTTAGCCCTACAATAATGTGGGAGGCACGAACGTGGAATCTTTTTGGAGAAATCATGCCGGCTTGAGCAACCCCGTCGATGAACTCTGTGCCGCGTACCGGTTTCAGTGTGGGCCTTGTAACGCGAGATCGAGGTGCTTGAAATCTTGCGATTTGAGCGTAATGTTCAGAATAGAATTTTGGTGACATAGCGCAGAACGTTGCGCTTCAGTTGCCGACAACTACAGCACGCCACCAAGCAGCCACACTGCTCGAAAGTGCCAGAGCATACCGATGTTGTCTGCGAGCGGCGTCGCACGCCTTGACAGCAGCAGCAGGCAACCAGAAACGACGCTAGAGGTGTTCTCGGCATGTGCATGTAGGTGCTTGCAGCAGCTCGAAAGTTGACTTAAACTGCGTATCTTCTGGGTGCTTTGACGCGTCGCCGCCGTTCTCCACCTGTGTTGGAGCATGCCCTATCGACGAACGGGTTGAACGCGAATCAAGCAGGTTCGCCGGGCGTTCTCCTACGCCAAAACTTGTAGAGGTATTGTGTTTGGCACAGCAGTGTAATTTGTCGATCTATGCATACGGCCCGAAATCGTTGTTAACATGACGCTTTTTCCTGGATGTTTTGCGTCCCCCCGACCTATATCTGCTTCTGTGCAAATCCCCTACGCTACGTTTGAGTTGTTCCATTTCGTTCGCGAAACGCTGTTCCCTTCAACTGTTTTGGTGAGGAACCTGGCGTAGCCTTCAGAGTGGAAGCCAATGATGTCTTGAGGGCCGACGCCTCATTTCGACGAGCTTTTCTCGGCCTGGCACACGCCGTATCGCCGCTGGCTGCTTTCAGCTGTGCAATTCAGTTCCGGCAAAATCAACCCCGCCTGCCTACAGACATTGCTGGACAGAGGTAACGAAATTCAATTTACGTGCGTAGATAAGATTCTCGTTGATTGTGACCGCCGTTGGTCATTCGCGGCTAGTGTTTTAACGGGGCCGTGACCTCGTACCCCCGACCGCGTTCCCCGCGCACACCACCGCTGTACGTTGGCACGGGGGGTTGTTCCGCCACAGCTGAACGCCGCGACGGAGCTGGGGCTGCTGATCGTGACGAGCTTCGAGGAGAACGGACGCGAGGTGGACGAGGCGAGACTGTCACAGCTCAAGCGAGTGGCCGTTGCCATGTCCCCGGGCGTGGAGATGTCGGAGTTCCTCAAGCGCGCCATCAGGTGGGAGCGCGAGGGTTGATGTGCGTGGTAGCCGTACAGGAAGTGAAGGAACGGCGCAGTTCAGGTTTCGGTAGAGTCGGACGGCCGGTTCTCTGTCTTCTCACCCCGCTTTTCACAGGAATCCCGGGGAGCCGTTGCCCTCTCTAACTGTCAAGTCACGACCGTACACCCTCGGGGTTTTGTTCGCTTTTGTTTTTCCCCAACTTGTATCTACTGACGGCCGAACATACGATTACGCTTCGTTCGAAGGCTTGAGTGTTTCCGTCTTCACCCCCCGAGAGCTTTCTGTGACCCCTCCCCCCCCCCCCCCCCCCCCCCCCCCCCCCCCCCCCCCCCCCCCCCCC